TTTTGTCCATCTACAACTAAAAACTTAAAAAAAATGTAATTTAAGCTGCTAAGAAAAAGATAAATTTTCTTACCTTTTGAAATAGTGGGATAAATGAATTATATGAGAGAGCAGGCAAATTATTGGAGTTAACTTACTAGAGGGAGTTAGATGCAAAGATAAGAATTGATCAGAAAATGGGATGATTAAAATTGAGATATTGTTGAACTGATAATGAAAAACTTAAACCAGGCATGGTGGTTGGTGTCTGAAGTTCCAGCTACTTAGGAGATTGAGGTGGGAGGATCACTTGAGTACAGGAGTTCCAGCCTAGACAACATAGCTAGAATTTCAGAGGGGCGGGGAGGGAGAGAGCGCATGCAAATAAAAAAAAACTTAAAAATATGATTATGAATGGAGGCAATTGGTTCCGGCAGTATGGAAAGGAAAATCATTGGAAGTAGGAGGAAAAGTGATGAAGGGATCATTCATAAGTATCTCAACAGTTGTGAGTAGAGCTGCAGTGAGTGACAATGATATAGGAACTAAAATCTTCAAAGAGTGACCCAGGAGGTAGTAGATGACTGCTAGAAAGAGGAGACATTTATACAAGAGTGTTACAACAGGATATTCAAAGTTGGAGTTAAGAGACAAGGACAGAAAGAATCAGGTAGGGAAAAAAAAAAAGAAAGAATAAGGTAGAGTGAGAACAGATAATGGTTAGGATTATATGTTTATAGAGTCAAAAACCCAAGAAACAGTGCTGGGGATTTAGCTCAGTTGGTAGAGTGCTTGCCTAGCATGCACAAGGCCCTGGCTTCAATCCCCAGCACCATTAAAAAAAACCAAAACAAAAAACCAATATCCTGAGTGGTTATGGTAATGGTCAAATATGTTCTATTACATCTATAGTATGTGATGTATTTGATGTATTGTCATAGTAGCAATCTAGGAAGAAGTCAAAGCTAGTCAGCCTACTTTTCTGAGAACATAAAAGAAGATTGTGTAATTTATAAACAAATTTATTTTCTGGAGTCTGGGAAGTTCCAAGATTAAGATGCTGGCATCTGGTGGGGGCCTTCCTGCTGCATTTTATGACATGATGTGGCAGGAGGTTCCCCATGGAAAGAGAACAAGCATGCTAGCTCAGGTCTCTTTTTCTCTTCCTTGTCTCATAAAGCCACTAATTCCATCATGGAGGCCCCAACTTCATGATCTCATCTAAACCTCTTTTAAAATCTATAAATATATGGAGATTAAGTTTCCAACACATGAAATTTGGTACATATAGGAATACATTTGAACCATGGCATAATACAAACTGTAAAGGAAGCAGAATTGTGGAATGATTTACTTTTAATTAAAGGCTCTCTAGAAGTAAAGTGGGATTCAGAACTGCAGAAATAAAAGTCTTAATAACATCTGGACTGTACACATTTCATTCTGTTACTGTGTTCCTGATCCTATGGCAGTGACATCATAATGACCATGAATGCAAGTGAAGAAAAGTAATAACCAGTGACAGGGCCACAGACACTCTGGTTTTCGCTGTCTTGGTGGGTGGTCTGGTAAAAGAGTTTGGGAGAGGCTTGTGCTGATGATCAAAGGGAAGATTGAAGTGTTCATTTGAGTTATGTGGGACTTTTTGGTGCTATGGGTGATCTGTGCTCTTCCCTCTGACTTGAAGTAAAAATTAGGCCAGAAATCTTGTATTTATTTATTCACATTGACTATTTTTAAAAGTCTCTCTCTTTTTTTGATAGTTGTAGATGAACAGCATGCCTTTGTTTATTTTTTATGTGGTGCTAAGGATCAAACCCAGTATCTCACAAATGCTAAGCAAGTGCCCTGCCACTGAGATACAGCCCCAGCCGCTCACATTGACTTTTTGTCATCTATGGTGGCATTGAATCTTGAATGGAAAATTCAGCAATCAGGAATTGGGCATGGAAAAGGAGGATGTACTCTCTTGATGCTCTTTGTAAAGGGTAGGACATTCCAGGTTTCCCGATGATTTGAGATTTTTCTTTATGTTCTTTTGTCTTAAAAGGAGTTTTGGGTTGGACACAATATCTTTATTTATTTTTATGTGGTGCTGAGGATCAAACCCAGTGCCTCGCGCATGCCAGGCCAGTGGGCTACCACTTGAGACACATCCCCAGCCCCTTGAGTTTTGGTTGTTTGACTCCCAAAACTAGAGAATCTAATCAGTTTGGGAGTCAAATTATGTGTACTTGTTAAAACAGATTGCTGTCCCTTTTTTTCTGCCTCCCTGCATTTTCTGATGCAGTAGGTCTATCTGTGCCTGATAATTGGCATTTCTAACAAGTTTCCAGGTGATGCTGATGCCCTTGAACTGTAGTTGGAGTACCACTAGGTTACACTACATGAATTTCTTCAGAGTAATGTTTTTGATACTGTGGTAGACACATGGTAAGTGTAATGGGTTCACTTGTGTTCTTCAAAAAGTCCTATCTCCCAATACTTCAGAATGTTATCTATTTGTTAATAGTCTTTGCAGATTTAAGTAGTTAAAATGAGGCCAGAGTGGAATAGGATGGGCCCATAATCCAATGTGACTGGTGTCCATATAAAAAAAAGACACATAGAGGCACAGGCAGAGGGAGAACACCATGTGACTACATATGCAGAAAGAAAATGAAGTCTTGCAGCTGGTCAAGGAACATCAAAGATTTCCAGCAAACCAACCAAAGTTAAGAAGAAGCATGGAAGGATTCTGCCCAACAAGCTTCAGATGGTGCATGACCTTGAAGACATCCTGGATTTTGGATTCCTAGCCTCCATAACTGTCAGATGATAGGTTTTTGTTGTTTTTAAGGTGCCTAGTTTGTAATGCTTTGTTCTAGAAGCCCTTGAAAATGATTACACTAAAGTTACTCCCAATCTGTCATGCCCTTGTATAATCCTGAGTATGGGTAGAACCAACATTTCAAACTGACAGGGAATAGCAAATATGATTGAATGTCACTGCTATGATTAAGCTGTATCACATAAGACTATTCTTAGCATACTGGAAAGAGAAATTTTTTTCTGTTGGACTTAAAGAAGCAAACTGCCATGTGGTAGCTTAGAACATGAGATGGCCCTAGGACAAACTTCAGCCAGTAGCCAGTAAGATTGAGGGAGCCGCAATCCTATTACCACAAAGAAATGCATTCTGCTACTACATGAATGGGCTTATTGATTAGAGAGGACATTCTCTAGTCAATGGTGTGGATATGACACTGTGGGATCTCTTATGCAGTATTGATCAGATCTCAGCCAAGGCTATAGTAATCTGATGATTCTTCTGGGCTGAACATTTGCAGTAACTCATTCCTGTGGCTGGGAGTTGATGCTGGCTATCTATTGGGAGCTCAGCTCAATCTGTTGACTGCAGCACTTAATATGCACCTTGTGTACTATAGTGGTTTCTGAACCGTTCTTATAAGGTGGCTGATCCCCAAGAGCAAGTGTCCCAAGAGAACCCAGCAATTGTTTCAAAACTTTTAAGGGCTTTTCAGACCTGTCTTTGGAAGTGATATAGCATCACTTGTTGTTTCTATTGTTTGAAGCAGTCACCAGCCAATCCAGATAAAAGGAAGGTGATATCTACCCCATCTCTTCATGAATTAGTGTCAAAGAACCTGTGGGCAATATTTATATTTAAGAACTGACTCATTGTTATGGATATATATTTTACATATAATAAAATGCATAGTTCTCAAGTGTTGGTTTCAATGAATTTTAACAATTATACTCTTCCATATACCACCTGAAGTAAGGTATAGAACACTTTAAAAAATTCTTGTGTCTGTTCTAAATCATTCCCATTTTTTCATGTGAATATATATAAATGGAATTATATACTATATCTGCATGTATGTGTATTTAGGTTTTTTCACTCAACAATGGACTGAAATTCAGTCATAAGTTGCCAATATCAGATTTTTTTATTGCTATTGTTTTATTGTATGAGTATTAAACAGTTTGTTCATTCCCCACCTGTTGTTGGACATTTGTGTAATTTCTGGTGTGTGATTATCATAAATGAGGATATTATCACAATCTTGCATACATCTTCAAATTTTATCAGAATGTCTCTGGGAGTACTACTCTTTTAAAATAATCAAATCCATAATGCCCTTTGATTTCATTTACTTCTCTAGATCATAAAGATTTGCTATCATGAAATTTTGGCATTTAGAAGTCTAAATTCCTCACAAAACCAACTTCTCTACAACCTTCTTCAAATCTCATACACTAGAGGGAAAAAAATAAAGAGCAAATTATCTTTCCAAATTTATTTTCTGTGTGTAGAAGGAAAAGGATAGTATTGTTAGAAGAGTGAGATGTCATAACTGACTATAAATTGAAAGTCTAGGTTTAATAATAAGGACACTTATGTCCTTTCTAGGTGATCCTAACCCCAATATGTTGCTATTGTTGCCAAAGTGGCAGGGAGGATCATTATGTTTTTCAGAGAACAGAAGTCCCTTTAAGAGGGCATAATAATCAGTTCAGGATTCTTCAAAAGAGCACAGTTGTACTTGTCAGCTCTTTAGGATACCGGCAAATTATTACTGTTAGAAGTGGAGGACTGAAGGAAATCTTAATGTACAAACTCCAAACCTTTGTAGTCGTGGAAAGGAAACTTCTTTTGTAAGAAAAGGCTAAGGCTTCTGCTATGGACAGAGTGGTTTTTTAGACTAGGTTATTGGGGTAATGATTCATTATCCAGGTAATGAAATGTTCAAAGAGAATTCTTAATTAAATCTGCCCCTTGTGTTCCACCTACTGGTCTTGAATGCAAAACAATTATTAACTTGAATATGTAGAGAAGAAAATGACCTTGGGGTTGATTAGGGGCTGATATTTTTAAAGGCCGATGGTGTCAAACACAAATTTAAAATCTGTATCTACTATACTCAATCTCTAGTATGACTCTAGATTAATGAGGGTACCCTGGGAAATTAAGTCAAAATATGAAAAATTCATGACAAATTATGAAAAATGCATGATAATGATAAACAAGACATTTATTTTTCATACTCATTTGAGGATAAGGAAAAAAGTTTGTTTAACCTACTGGTTTTCCTGGAATGTTCTCCATTCATTCCATAGAATTGGATATGCAGCTCAGTAACAGAGGGTTTTGTACCCTTAATTCAGAAATAAAACTTCCTTTGAATAGAATGGTCAAAGGGTGAGCCTTTGTGAGCAGCTTCTCTGGTGCACAGCCAGACTTCCTCTCTGAGTGAAGCTTTTTCCACATTGACCACACAGATAGGGTGTCTCTCCTGTGTGGATTTTGCCATGCAGAATACAATTCCCCCTGGTGTGGAAACTCTTCCTGCACTGGGTACAGGCATAGGGTTTTAGACCTGTGTGGACTCTAATGTGAACAATTAAGCTTCCTTTCTGACTGAAAGCTTTTCCACACTGATCACATCTATAGGGCTTCTCACCACTGTGAACTCTTCGGTGAACAGCAAGGTTACTTTGATTCCTGAAGCTTCTTTGACAAATGGCACACTCATAGGGTTTCTGTCCAGTGTGGAGTCTCTCATGGACGGCCAGACTACCACGCTGACTAAAGCTTTTCCCACACTCCTTGCACTGATAAGGCTTCTCTCCCGTGTGTATTCGCTGATGTGTAACAAGATTGCCTTTGGCCCTGAAGCTTTTTCCACAATGGGTACACTCAAAGGGCTTCTGACCAGTGTGAATTCTCTCATGTAATGTTAGACTACCTTTTTGCCTGAAGGACTTTCCACATTCTTGGCACTCATAGACCTTCTGTCTCACCCCAGGTGAATCTTCCGGTAGTGTCTTAGAATCTGGGGATTTTTGTTCCAGCTTCTCTCTTCTGAAAGAATTCTGGAAATCCCAGCTTGAGGATCCTGTGGCCTCAGAGTGATCATATTTGTGGTGAGCTTCTGTCATCACATCTGATAAAATGAGAGGGAAGTCATGTAAGAGGTACCAATATGCTGAGTGAGAAGAATATGGAAAATAGAAACACAATCGTTTGAGTGCTTATTAAGTGCCAGGCATTAGACTATGAACTTTGCATAGATAATTTAATCCTGGAATAATTTAATCCTATGGGATTGCTACAGATCAGGAAAAGAGAGCATAGGGAGGTTGTCAAGACCATGTAGCTAAATAAGTTAGAGGTGGGTTTCAAACACTGGAATACTCCATAGCTGTGTATTGCCTCTACATTTAATTTAGTCTTCCAAATAATCTTGTGAGGTAGACACAATTACCTCTATTTTGTAGGTAAGAAAATAGGCTCTGAAAATCAAGGAAAACATACAGGATCTCACAAGAGCCCTGTACTCAAGCTTTATCTGATTCCTAAACAGGTGTGGTTCCAGGATGTAAAGGGTCTAAAGCTTTAAAACTTTAGAGGTACCCCTTTAAAAAAAAGTACAAAATTGGGCAAAGGGTCCTGAAGAGACCAATGCAAGCAAGGGCTCCGGACACACAAGCTGTATTAGTTCTATGAAAAGTCAACCCAATTCCACCCTATTCCTTAAGTTTGCTCTTAAGAGTGGAGTAAGCGCTATGACCTTAGAAAATATGTAGCACAATCCTAGATTTTATACGTCTATTGTCTTTAATACCTGCAACTGTACAAGTCAGAACTCATTGTTCCATTTTACAGATGAAGGCCTGGAGCTTAAGGAAGTTAAGTAACTTATCTGATATTAAAATATAGTCAGGAAATTATAGAATCTAACAAATTCCTTCCTTTAAAATCTATACTATTTTTAGTTTATTTAAGCTATGGTGGAACTAAAATAAATTTTGGTTTGGAAGTTATTCTCAAACTTCATATGTAGGTATCAATAATATTTTCCAATACTGCCCTGTATCTGAGCCTCTTATGTGCTTTAAATATGGATCCATTCATCACTGTTTTTTTTTTCCCCTATGGAAAATTTCTCCTTATTTCCTGCTTTATTCTTATCCAGTGATAGTGCTGACAGTTAAAGGTGCTCACTCATTCTGATATTACTTCGAGTCTACCTCCATGTCTAGACTGTTCTCTTGCTCTGTTCTGACTATTTCTATGCATGCGAGGGCTAGCATAGCCCTCTAGCTTGCAGGCTTTTTCTGTAACCCCTAGGAATAGTGAGCTCCATCAAAGGAACGTCTCCTCTGCTTCCTCAGACTGAGGACCAGTGCTGAGGACATGGACTCTGAGTATCTGTGTTCAGAAGACATCCCAGCCACCAGCGGACTCACTCACTGAAAAATGCTACATTCTGGGCATATCTTCCATGACAGTCCAGCAGGGTAGCTGTTGGAAATCCAAACATGTCCACTCCTGCTCTATAATCTTAATCACCACCTCTTCATATAATTCTTCCATGGGCTGTTCCTGAGCACCTAAGGAGGGAAAAACAAAAACAAAACAACAAACAGAAAAAGGCAGAATTTTTAAGTGCGAAGGATAAACAGGAACTGAGTAGAAAAAGGACATTTTGATTGCTCGATATAACATAATCATATATAATGTCACTGTAAAATGCGTTCAAAGACAAAAGGATAACACAGACATGAGTCTAGAAGGAAATAGGAGGCAGGAAAGCAAAGAACACAAATATATATATTTTTTCCCCATTTAATGGTCACTCCTGTTTGTATTTTGATTTTGGCATGAGAATGGGATCTTCCATTTCCTAACTGCTGCCTGTTATTTTCTAAGCCCCAAAGAATTCAGAATCCTAAAAAAACATTTCAGCTTTCATAACTGGCTCCTGTCCAGTTTCTCTTAGATTATAAGAACCAAATAAGGGATTTCATGTTACCTTTGAACAATTCTTAGGAAGTTCTAGACCCAGGCCCACCCCTCTCCTGCTCTACTTTTTCCCTTTTGGAATATTCCTTCTAACTTCAGGACCCTAATTTCTGAACTGTTATACTTTATTTATGTAATGGTTTAATGTATAATCTTTGTTTCTCTAATATGTCCTATCCTGATTTAAGGAATTAGTATTATGATACTACAATTCTTTGTCTTGTTAACCTGGGCATTCTTGACAACTGCATATTTAGCTATATGTTGTGATGACTAGGAACTCTTACTTGGAGGATGCACTTCCAACTTGTTCAAAGTGCCAGCAAATTCACTTGAGAGTTCAAGGTATTACTGATCAACAACTGCACATCCACCAAGAGTCACTGGAAAACTACATGGTACCTGCTGCATGGGGATGGACTCTTGTTATTGAGGACTCCAGGAAATAGGCTTTAGTCAGATCAAGTGGGTAGAACCTACAACTCTCCATCTCCACGTCCTGTGAGGTCTTCAACAAATAACAATTCAGTTGTGTCTCCAGAACCTTCTTGGTTAATAAGGGGGTAATTGTCATTGTCCTCTCTCTGAAGAATCAAATTCTAGAAGAAACTGGTTTTATAACAGAATACACTGCTTTTCCTATCAGAAATGCATAGAATCCTTTGAAAAAGGCTCAGAATTAGGTCCCTAGAAACTGGGACTTTTGCCTTCGCTTCCTCAGTGTTTGACCTGGGCAAATAACCAATCTGCTCTGACTCCATTACCTCATTTACTGAACAGATTAATATCCTTCTTATCAAGTAGCTCCTGGGAGAACAGAAGAGCTAAATGTTAGATCTCTAACTGGGTCTACAGATTTAAGGCCTAAGATATAGAGTTCTCATCTGGGGGGCCTCTTGGGGTAGAGTTCCAGAATTAGTAGCTTGTGTGTGTGTGTGTGTGTGTGTGTGCGCACACCCAACTCCAGTTTATCTTTTCCCTATTTTCCACCCAGAAGGGTCTCCTCACCTCCCTAGGGGCCCGTGTCTTCTTCCGGTCCCTCTATGGAACCCTCACGGCGGGTGTGCACCTGCCTGTATCCCTTCCCTCTGCAGAATGCTGTGCCTTCGCAAACGCCTAGCCCTGCCGACACCGCAGTCCTAGGGGCCCAGCTACGCGCTGCAGACCCTCCCCGCCTGCCGCAGGCCCCCAGGCCCGCCCCGCGTCCTGGACTCAGCCTCCTGCTTCCAGCCCAGTGGACGCTTCTCTGTGGGCCGCGGGCCGCGGGCCGCTACCCTCAGGGCCCGGCCTGCTCACGGCCGCGCGGAGGGCCCAGGGGCGGCGGCCTGACAGCGCGGCCCCGCCTCGCCCGGGCGCATGGACCCGACCGCGGCCTCACTCACCGCAGCGGCGCGCGCCCGCAGATAGACAAAGGCCGGCGCTAAGCCCGCTTCAGCAGCGCCGCGCGGCGGCCGGACCACAGCTCCCAGGAGCCCGCGCGCGGCCCGGGGCACTGTGGGAAGCGTAGTCTGCGGCGCGCGAGACCTGAGGTGGGAGCGGCGTGGGGTGAAAGTGCGCCCTGGGGTGAACGCGGCGTGGGACCCCCCCTTAGGCTAGGAAGCCCGGCACATAGGAAACCCTCTTGGCAGGGTTTCGAGAGAGGAAAAGTCCTGGGGCGAAGCAGGTGATTAAGCCTCTGGTTCTCAGAAGTTATATGTTGAGTCACTGCGTGGGCAAAGATTTAAGTGTTCTGTCATTGGGTGTCTGAAACCGGAGTAGCGTTTAAAATGTAGAAAAATTTGGAACACACTTCCGATCCATTTAATAAGAATTCTTACTAGGAATAAAGGGTGAGATACCATCAGGCAGCGGATTGTCTTGAATTCCGTGTAGACGCCACCACTGACGAGCTTTGGGATTCTGGGTACGGTGGGAAGCTGGGGCGCAGAGCCTGGAGGATGCATCTGGGCATGGCCGGCGACCTCGCGTCTTGAGGGCAAAGAGTAGAACTTCTTGAATGCAGAACAAATACGTGGACCTAAGGATTACGGAGAGAAAAAACTATTTCCTAGAGTAACAACTCAAATCTTTCTTCTTAAATAAAGATGTGACTGAAGAATTGAGAATTATAAATCCTGAAAATGATTCAGCACCTGGGGCAGGAACCCTTTTTCACGGGGCTTCTCTGAAGAAAGACAAGAACACAGGCAGCCAAGTCCTTGGCCTTGGGAGGGTACATGGTTGTTTGTGAACATCCCATGATATAAAGGCTCTATAAAATGCTTTAAGCCGCCTTCGAATATACTTTTACAAGATCCTGGCTTCCTCTTGGAGCACTCTTTCATGGTGAACTGTACTGCTCTGGGGAACCCTGCCTCCACAATACTCACTCAGTCTTCTTTTTCTCTTTTTTAATTATTATTATTATTTTTTTAGTTGTAGATGGACACAATATCTATTTATTTTTATGGGGTGCTGAGGATTGAACCTAGGGCCTCACACATGCGAGGCAGGTGCTCTACCACTGAGCTACGGCCCCAGTCCCACACTCAGTATTCTTTTCTATCCTGTTGAATGCAGGGCTTCACAGGAACTCTTCCTGTTACTATGAGCTTGTTCTCTACTCCAAAGCCACATATCAATTAGACAAAAGAAATATTTAATTTCACAAATATGCTTTTGTGTTATGGAAATAATGCTGATTCCTAAATGTTATTAATATTGCTAATGAATCATTTTATTCAACATTGAGTTGAGTCCATTTTAAGTGTCAGGTGCTGTGCTAAGTGCTGGAAACACAAATGGGAGCAAGACATCCTCTCTGCTTTTTCGAGAGGGTACTGACATTGTAGACAGAACAGAAACACACCACCTTCCTCAAACTCTGGTCAGAATCCAATTCCAAGCTGCTACTGCCCAGAAGCTCACCATTCCTGGAGGGCACCTCAGCAGCACTGCAAAGATTCCTGGATTGCCTCCTTCACAATCACCTCTCTTTCTGTTATTTCTGGAGCAGCCACAAACAGACATTACTATTCTCCAAAGCCCAGTCTTTGTGTCTGTTGAGGTAGTCCTGTGTAATTGCTCTCCATTCCCCAGAGCTCTGTGTGGGTGAGGATTCATGTGCCCTCTAGGAATGTTTCCCCTGCTGATAAATAGCACCAAGTATCTTTTGTTTTTTAAATGTTTATTTTTTAGTTGTAGTTGGACACAATATCTTTTTTTAAATTTATTTTTTACATGTGGTGCTGAGGATTGAACCCAGGGCCTCACACTGCTAGGTGAACACAACAACCCCAATCCAGCATCAAGTATCTTGAAGTCACTCCAGTTATATTGGTCCCATTGAAGCCAAGACCAGCTGTAGGAGTAGGACAAGTTTCAGATACTGCGATGAAGGTAGATGCCAAGTATTTGGTGGGAAAAGGTGGCTCTGAAGTGGAACTATAGTCATGTTTCTCTCCTAAATCTACAAAAATTTCCTTAAGTGGTCTCAGGAAAGTGGATACATTGAATGGAAAGTGGGGAAAAGAGTGGCTAGGACTGGAGTTGATGAGATTCAGATGAGACCCAGATCTCCCTAGATAGACACCAGTCTTTGCCAAGTTCCTAAATGGGACCAGGTCCTCAGTCACAACCCACATTTGAAGGCAATTAGCAGGAAGGAGGGTGTTCAGTGAGGGCTAAAGGAAAATCCTATCAGCAGTGTAGGGTTGAAAGCTTGTCACAAAATTATTCCTCAAACTTCACAGCCATTTCAAAATGTTAGGGGAAGGAAAAATAATTCAATAAATGGTGGTATGACAGAAGTCCAGCCATTTGCAGGGAAAAGTAAAGTTAAATGTTTACTTAATTACTATACCAATATAAGATATGGAAAATGACAAACCACAAAATAGTGTGGCCTGGGAAGAGGGAGTGAGGAAGAAGGTAACACTGATTACATTGATCATTTCCCAATATGTTCTTTCCCAGTGGCAAGACAATCCCTGGGGAGGAAATATCCATCAAGCCTAGAATGACAGCCTCTGGGAGGAGGCCAAAGCATTGATCCTTCCCAAAATAAATCCTTTCCCAGTGACAGTGCAATGGGACCCTGGAGGGAAAGAGATAAATACTGACCACTGACCCCAGACCCTCCATTTTCTCCAAGTCAAAATATTACCCAGTAAAAACAAATCTCAAGTTCTCACAACATTGCCCAGTAAAAAACAAATCTCTTTTCTGAGTGCTCAAACTGACATGCTCTGTCAATAATTAAGTCATCTCCCAGTGTAACCATATAAGCCAGACTTCCCCTTTGGCCAGCAGCTCATTTCCTACTAGGAAAGTGGGTCCATCACATGTATGATTTCATTGCTGAATAAAAGCTGTGCTGATCTGTGAAGTTTGCACCCAGCTTGGTCATTTTATGCTAACACCAAGATAACCTCCAGATGGATTAAATGTAGATTGTGAGACACAGATCCATAAAAGGCTCAGAAATACAGATGGATTATTGGTTTTATAATCTTGGCATAGAAAGTCTTTCCTAACCATGGTAATGAAGGCAGAAATAGTGCAAAAAAGATTACTCTGTGTGGGTAAAATATCACCATGAAGTTAACATGTGAAAAGCTAGGAAAATATTAGCAATTATCACACAAATCAATAAGAAAAAACATTTAAATAGAAATGCAGCCAAGCACAACTCTCCCTCCCTCTCTCCCTATTTCTCTCTCTCTCTCTCTCTCTCTCTCTCTCTCTCTCACACACACACACACACACACAATTAAAAGAAAAATATTCAAGATTTAGATTGATATTCATTTTAAAATTGAAACAAAAGTTTCCCTCTAACTATTGAATGGCAAAAACTGCAAAGGGGAGTTAAAAATGGATATTTTTTCCAAGTGTAAAATTGAGACAATTATTCTGATTAAACATTTAGACATATGTATAGTAAGTCTCAAATGTATACATACTACTATTAGAAATGTTTTCCTTGGCAGGAAAAATCAGATAATTATATCCTAAATGCAGAATGAAAGCTGTAGTGTCCAGGTTTCTGAGGTGAATTTCTGGCTTTGGAAAGATTCTTGGTTCCTTTGAAGGAAGTAACTGCCCCTGAAACTTCCATGAGATGGCCAAGCTCAAGGGAAGCTCAAGCTTCACTGCTATATTAGTTCTGAACCAAGCAATGGGGTCTAGAGTGATAGAATGAGCATTTGACCCTCTGGAAGAGTTTATAAGAACAATTTCTGAGTTTATACCAGTCCTTGCTAGAAATGTAAGCTTCTGAAGACATCTGTTAATAACTGTGCTTATCTCCTTACCTTGCAGCTACTGTGTACATTCACTGAACTAACCAGTCTTCTCATAGCTTCCAAACCCTCAGCCTACTCTGTTTATCATAGAGGCCAATACTTGGGAGAAAGTTGACCATCTCTCAGGTACTCCCAATCCCTGCCCAGTCCTCTGGTCAGTGATCAGGCCTGAGAAGCTGGATCCAGGAGGATAAAGAAATCTGTGTATTTCTCTGAAAAGACAGTTGAACCCTGTGCTAGAGCCATCCAGATGTATCTTGAGTTTTCAACTATTTCTCAGGGCCTGAAATCACATTAGTCTCTCCTTGGACAAAATGAAGCTGCCTCTGTTCTTTTGTCTTCTGTTTACTCTATTACCTGATTTACAAATTCAGGATACTATGAATTTGGACTTCATGAGTCTAGGATGAACATTATTGATTTATCCCTTCAGAATTCCTACACCATTCAAATGAAAATCATTCCTCCTTATGAAAGCTATTTGTGCATGTTTCAGATATCTATCTATCCATCTATCTATCTATCTATCTATCTATATACCTACCTACCTATCTATCTATTTATTTAGTTTTTGGTACCAAAGATTGAACTCAGGGGCATTTGACCACTGAGCCACATCCTCAGCCCTATTTTGTATTTTATTTAGAGACAGGGTCCCACTGAGTTGCTTAGTGCCTCACTATTGCTGAGGCTGTCTTTTAACTTACGATCCTCCTTCCTCAGCCTCCTGAGCTGCTGGGATTACAGGGATATTTCTGCCTTTTAGATAGCTGTGCTCTTTTTGAATATCTTGATAGAATTTCTTATAAACTAAAAGGTGCAAGGAAAAGCATAAGATGTGGATAGATGACCACACTTAGTATATATTTGCATCTGTTTCCAGGGGTATGGGTCAGGCCATCATTTCCTGCTGAGGTTCTAGTGTCCATTGCTGATTATCCTGTTGTATCATTGAATGGGACTGCTGTTTAGAACCCCTTTAGGATGAGTTTATGGTGCTGTTTGGCTTACAAAGAGGAGGAACC